CTCCTCCTCCTCCTCCTCCTCCTCCTCCTCCTCCTCCTCCTCCTCCTCCTCCCATCTTTGGCTGCGCCCCTGCAGAGCGGAGAGCGGAGAGCGGAGACGCACCTTCGAGCGGAGAGCGGCCATCCGCATACCCTAAGCGGGACCTCGCCGTCCCTCTAGGCGCCGCCGGTCGCGCAGCTCGCACCACCCTGCTGCGCGCCTGCAGGTGCGCCAGCGCACCGGAAAGGGGCATTGCTCGGCGGCGAGACCTTTGCTCGTGGCTCGGCTGCCGCGAACCGCGTCCGACAGGAACTCCGGACCCAGTTCTCTGCGCGGGCAGCCGGGAGGCATGCCTCCTAAAGCCGGTTGTCATCTTCTCTGTAGGGGTGTGGCCGGGATAAATGCCAGCAGCGCACGGCCAGGGCACCTTGCCGGAGTGACTGAAGGGTCACCTCTGGACCATCCATGTACGGTCACCTCTGGAATGACTGAACGGTCACCTCTGAACGGCGAGACCTGCAGAGGTGAAGCATGACCCGTGCTTATTTATGTCACCTGGCCCCTCGGGTCGCTTCGGAATTGGGGCTTCCCCGGCACCGTTTCGCACGTGTTCCGTTGCCATCGAGGAACACGACACAGGGGGGGGGAGCGAGGAGGGGCGAACCCTTCTCGGGAGGCCTGGAGGCCGCCACTGCCCTCTGAGAAGTGCCTCCCGGGCCTCGCCCAAGACAGAAAACGTCTCAGAAGGCGCGCGGGCTTCCGAGAAGGCCTCGCCCAAGACAGAAAACGTCTCAAAAGGTCTCAGAAGGCCTCGCCCAAAACAGAAAACGTCTCAAAAGGTCCCGCCGCCTTCTGAGAAGGCCTTCTCCTTCTCGCTTCCCCCCCCTCGTTCGGCGCCGACCCATGCTTATGTCACCTGGCCCCTCGGGTCGCTTCGGAATTGGGGCTTCCCCGGCACAGTTTCTCGCGTGGTCAATTGAGATCGAGGGAACATGATATCCCCCTTTAACCGACAGAGGCATCTAACTGATCCCTGGTGTTCTATGCAAGCGGACAGATCGCGATCAACGTCAACACCCTGAGCTGTCGGTTGAGCCGACGCCGAAGCTTCTTCCAGAATGTGAACGAACGGATCATCAGTCCATGGTACTGGAACAATAGTTCGTTGGCTGGCCTGCCAAATCTGAAATAACGTTGCTTCCAAAAGCTGTCGACTGCCATAAGGTGCATATATTCCAAAAAAAATCGTGCATGCCCATTTGCGCATCGGATGCAATGTTTGGCATTTCAGCTGATAACAAATTATTTTCCAAGGGAACACAGTCCCACGCAAATGCGGAATGTGATGATGATGCAACATCGGTATCCTCAGTATTCTGAAAATCGCGTAACGACATGATCAGTTGAACAGGTCCAAAACGGTTAAACGGATGAGCGGCGGCTACCTCTCAAACCGGACTCTCACTGGAGAGATCCAGGAATAGTAACACCGTGGCGTCAGAAATGCGCAACCGTCTAGCGGATGGAGGCGGATCTTGCTCAAACCAGGGCTCTCGCTGGAGACTTGCGTGCCATACCTCCGCGTAGCTGTAGGGGGGTGGGGGGGTGGCCGAGCCTATCAGAACGGGGCTCTCGCCTGTGGCAGGCCCACGGGGAGCATGAGCCGACGTGGGGGCAAACGAGCAGAGACCTGGGACGGGTGGATTGCAGCATCGCTGGTGCCTCTTCGGCTTACCCTGGCCCCATCGTGTTTCTCGTCCTCCTCCTTGCGAGGCGGGAATTAATCCATATCCACCGCCTGGGAAACGACGTCCTGGTGCCCCTGCGGGCGGTGGATATGGATATATTGTGGCCCCCCGGGGCCCGAATATACCCAAATCCACCGCCTGCGAGCTCCCCGAAAATTGATCCTCCAGGCAGTGGTCATGTATAAATTCCCGCCTCAAGTATCCTCCTCTCTCTGCTCGCACGTCGCGGCCACTGCAGTGTGCTGCTTCCTGATCCGCGCACCTGCTGTGCTCACACCACTCGCCTGCTGATGGCAGGACGATTCCCTGCTCTCGCGTCGGGCCCCAAAGCCAAGATCAGCCCACCGCCACCCTTCCATAACAGGAACGATCCGATTATGATACCGATATTGCAAGCTCCCTCTCCTACGACTCCCTCAGCATAATCATGTCTGCCGCCTCCCCCAGTCCTGCCACCACAGGCAATGTTATGACCTCCCCTTGCCCTTCACTTCCGTACGAATCCTCTTCGCAGATCCTGTCAGTTGTCCCAGGAAGACCTTATGGGTCGCGTCGGAGTACTGGCCACTCTTGCCATCGCTGGACTGCATGATCTGCTCCCAGACAGACCAAGTGTACCGCAGCGGAAGCTCCTCTAACAGGCGCATGTTTAAATAAACAAAAAAACAATGGCTAAATGAGACAAGTCAAAAGCGGTTCTCAGAGGATATGACAGCAGACGACCTCATGATTGCGCCATCGTTACCTGCGCCGACAGAGTAAACTTCACTAAACAAATACTACTGGAATCAAGCTGTTCGAGACTCCCCCCAGCCACTCCGACAGGGAAGAAAGGAGGAGGCATGAGGAAGTCTTCCCGCCATCGATACAGCAGTGGAGGGCGAGCGATACTGTTCAGCGGTTCAGCGCGCAGAAGCCTTCCAAGAATCCGAAACGAAGAGCGTATCAGAGCCAAACGCAACGTTTGTTCCTAGGGAGAGGGAGGAACCCGCTGCCCCTCAAGAGGGCAATCACAGACGCACCTATCGAGCGAAGTCGACAGCAGGGCGGTGAGAGCAAAAACCTGGCTGGCAGGTCCCTGGGCTCGCGGGACTCGCGAGGCTGGGAACCAGAAGGCGACCGCTACGAGCTTGCCCCACAGCTCGGCGGCGAGCCCGGCGGGGGGGAGCCAGAAGGGCCGGGCCTTCTCAGAACGCTCGGAAGCCCCCCAGCCTTCTGAGAAGTCCTCCTCCTCCTCCTCCTCCTCCTCCTCCTCCTCCTCCTCCTCCTCCTCCTCCTCCTCCTCCTGAGCCTCTTCCCCGAAGATACCGAACACCTCGCAGAAGGAGCGAGGGCTTCTGAGAAGTTCCGACACCTTCTGAGAGGGCCTTCTCCCGCTCACTGCCTCCCCTCGCTCGCCGCCGACAAGCGCAACATTCCACACTCGGCGGTCCAAACGCAACACCCAAAGACCCATCGGACTTCCACCGAATATACAATTCCGCGTCGCATCTACCCTGCGCTGGACCCCCACCCCCGCGGCGCCGTGGGGGGGGGCCCAGCGCGGATCCAAAAGAAGGTTAATGTTTGTGCCGTTCTTGCCTCTTCGAGAGATGGGTCCTGGACCACCCTGCTCCCCCCGGGCGAACTCTTCCCCCCCGAGCCGTCTGCCGACAGCCCCGGGCGCTCGTTCTCGGGCCCCCGGGGGCACGAGGGCCCGGGTCCCTCGGCGCCCGCTTGCCCCATGGCGAGCAGTCCCCGTCCTCCTCCTCCTCCTCCTCCCTCTCTCCTCCTCCTCCTCCTCCTCCTCCTCCTCCTCCTCCTCCTCCTCCTCCTCCTCCTCCTCCTCCTCCTCCTCCTCCTCCTCCTCCTCCCCCTCCTCCTCGTCCTCCTCCTCCTCCCCCTCCCCCTTCTCCTCCTCCTCCTCCTCATCATCATCATCATCATCATCCTCCTCCTCCTCCCCCCCGGGGCCTTCACGCCTTCCATTGCAAAACCATCGAAGCCCAAGAAGCCCAGGGCACCCTGGAGGAGGGCAGGGTGTTCCTTGGCATGGGTTTCCACTGTACCCGTCGGTCGGAAGGAGTTGGTAGAAGCATGAAGTGGGAAGGCGCTGGAGGCAGATTGATTGGGCTGCCGACCGCCCCATGAAGAGGAGGGAGGGGGGAAAGCCGTTCGACTCTTGAAGTAGAGTGAGGCCTGGGAGTCCAGAAAGACACACTTTCACGAAGGATTGCAAAAAAAACGAAGGATTGCAAAAAAACCCTTGAACGAAGGATTGCAAAAAAAACCCTTGAACGAAGGATTGCAAAAAAAAACCCTTCGTTTTTGTTGCAATCCTTCGAACCGACGGATTCGCTTCCCACGGCGCGGAGACGTCGGGGGGAGGGACCTCAGAGAGGGCCCGAGGCCGAGGCCTGAAGCGCGCTCGCGGTCGAGTCTGCGAGAGCCCCGGGTGGCACCGCCGGGGGGGCGGAGGCGGCGCAGGGCGAGTGGGCGCCGCGAGGGAGACCGCGAGCACACCCTCGTGCGAAGGATTGCAAAAAAAAAACGAAGGATTGCACGAAGGATTGCAAAAAAAACCTTCGTTCAAGGGTTTGTTTTGTTTGCACGAAGGATTGCAAGAAACGAAGGTTTTTTTTTGCAATCCTTCGTTCAAGGGTTTTTTTTGCAATCCTTCGAGCATCTCTGGGGGGCCCGGGCTGGGACGCAGGAGGACATACCAGTGCTGCGTGTCCTCCTGGGAGGCGGGCGTCCGACCGGGTCATGCAAAGCAAGCATAGTGTAGTATGCCGTGCCCCGCTCGGTATAGCCAGGAAGCGCCCGCCCCCGAGCAAGTACTGTGAGATTGCTCTGCGCGCGCGTCCGAAGAGTGCCTGCTCGCACATGGCCCGGATCCGCCATGGGAGATGCACGGTACATCACACATCGAGGCAGGCGTGTACTCTTCGGAAGTCTGCGAGTGGGCACTCTGCGAGCAGTGGAGCGCGCTCGGTGAATCGCACGCCGATCCTGCTCGAAAAACGTGGCAGGGAGACTGGGCCCGGGGCTCCAGTCATGATCTGCTGCGATGTTGCAAACCTGTTCGCGGCCTCGGCTCGCGGGGGGCGGGCCTTCGGAGGAGGCTCGGAGGGCCTCCGGCCCTCTGGGAATCGGCCTCTCGGCCTCCCCCGAAGCCGCGGACGGCAGCCCAGAGGGCCGGAGGGCTCCGGAGGCGGCGTGCCCACGTCTCGCCGGCGCCCGGGCGCGTCCCCGAGGCAGGGGAGCGGGCAGGTGCAGGCGGGGAGCCCAGAGAGGCCTGGGAAAGCACTGGAAAGGGCGGGAGCGGTCTTTTGAATTCGCGGGTCGAGAGCGCACCTCTTCCGGTCGAAGCTCAGCGGGCCGCGCGAAGCTTGAATTAACCAGGGAGGGGGGAGGAAAAAGGGGGGGCGCAGCCTCAGAACGGAAAGAGCGGGAACGGGCCGCAGTCGAAATAGGTCGCTCAGAACCCCAGTGGCCCTCTGGGCGGAGATTGTTCAGCAAGTTTCCACTTACGTCTTCCCCCCTTCTTCCCCCCGCTCCCCCTGGGGTCTGGCCAGCGGGGGTCGCGAGCGGTCAGAGCGTCCAAGATGGCCTTAGCGAGAAAGCCAAACAACTTAACCAGTCTTGGGCCCAGTCTACCCCTCTGGGGATGGGGGGCGATCGTAACCGAAGGCGCCCCCTTGTTGGATCGATCGCCTCCAGGATAGGCCATTCCCACACACACACACACACACACACACACACAAGATGCACAGCAGCAAAATACCATAGTCTTGGCTGCTGAAATGAAACACAAATCCGGGCGCGTCCGACAATTCCCCAAGAGGGCCCCAAGAGGCCCCCAAGAGGCCCCAAGAAGCCCAAAAGAGGCAGCTGAAATACCCCAAGAGGCACTCATGACGCTCCAAGGGGCCTCTCAAGAGCTGGGAAGAGTTGTCACTAGCTTTGGTTGTGTGTTCTGCACTAGGTTAACCATGTGTTTCTCGCTTTACCTATCCGTGGTTATGTCTCTGTGTAGCTTTAGCTGTGGCTGTAGCTTTAGCTGCAGTTTCCTTTGGCTGTGGCGCTGGCATGGATTTCGGCGACGGCTGTAGCTGCCATGGTTGGCTTCAAAGTTAGCTACAGGTGTGTTGGCTGCAGGTATATACATATGTGTATATATATGTAAATATATACACACACATATATGTATGTAAATATACACATATATATATATATATATATATATAAATGTATATATATATATTGACAGCGTACTCAAATACGAAGTAGCTAAAGCTTACGCTTCAGCTTTGCCGAGAACTGTAAGGAGGACATTAGCATTAGCTCAGCTTGCCACGAGCATGAGCATCAGCAGCAATGCCAGACACACTTCATCTTTAGCTGACCTTCAGTACTACTCAGTCTCTGAATTAGCTCTTCGCTTCAGTACTAAACTAGCTTCAACTGTAGACTGGTCAGAGTAAAAGGGCCGAACGGTCATTCACTGTCCCTTGGCGCGTGGCTGAAGTAGGATTCCGCAATGCGGACTGTTGTTGCATTGATGTTGTTGATTAATGTCGTCGTCCCACTCGCGACCTGGCCCACGACCCGCCCGCCACCCACCCGCGACACACCCCCGACCCACCCCCGACCCACCCCCGACCCACCCCGCGACCCACCCGCGACCCACCCCGCGACCCACCCGCGGCCCACCCCGCGCCCGCCCCCTCACTCGTATCCGCAACTGCGGGGCGCGACATGCAAATGCTGTGTCAGAAGGGGGGGACGACGGCGGCGGGAAGGAAGAAGGAGGGGCACTGATTCGGAGCATGCCCTGGGTCCCCGGAGCCATGAGCCGAGGGGGAACGTTGGGGGGGAGGGACTGGCTCGGGGGGAGGGAGGAGCATTGCCCTGGCATCGGCGATACATCGCGGACAGATCGGCGGCAGGTCCCCGATGGCGAGTCCTTTTGGGCTCCCTGGCGGATGGGCGATTGGGGATCGGTGTGTTCCCACCTGAGCCTATCCCCTCCCATCCTTGCTCTTGCTCCTCGGGCCCAAACCCGGCTCCCCGGCGGCCGTTTGGGGCGATTCCGGAACCCTCGGCACGCCCTCGACGAGGCGCAGCTGCTGGAGCGCACCCGGAGGCTGGAAAACCGCCGAGAACCGAGAAAAAGCGCCGAAAATGTCAGAAAATCCAGACCCGCCCTGACGTTGCCCCTGCTCCCCCGGACGTTGCCCTGGATCAACCAGCTGGAAGTGGGCCCGCGGTCCTTCTGGAGCGCCTCCTCGCTCTCGCCCGCGTCCTGCTCGAGGGAGGCTTTTTCCCGGCGCACGGCCGCATGCGGACCGCTGAGGTTGCCGCGCGCAAATCGCAAGCGGCAACAGAGCCTCCAGGGTGAATCGGCGGCGAGCGAGGGGGGAACGACGATCGGCGGAGGGCCCTCAGGGTGAATGCTGGGGCGACGATCGGCGGGCGGGCGTTCTCGGCAGTTCTCCAGTCTCGGGATGTGTTCCAGCGGCTGCGCCTCGCCGAGAGCGTTCCAGGGATGCCCGGATCGTCCCGAACGGCCGCCAGAGAGTCGAGTTATGACCCGAAAGTGGAACTCGGCGGCGCGCCTGGGGGGGAAGCGAGAAAGAGAAGGCCTTCTCAGAAGGCGGCGGGGCTTCTCGGAAGCCCTCGCGCCTTCTGAGAAGTGTTCTGTGCCTTCGGGGAAGGCTCGGGAAGCTTCTCGAAGGCCGGGTGTCTTCCGAGCCTCCTGAGCAGGCCCGCCCCTTCTCACCTCCGCCCTGGGCTCGCCGCAGCATGACGCGGAATGCGAAGATACAGCAGGCACATATGGTAAGAAATCTTGCCATGAGAAATCTTGGTACACCGTCTTCGTCGATCTGTCGGGGCGTCTGAGGTGCCCCAAGGCTTCTGTGGGTCCCTGGAGCCGTCGGGGGATAAGAGACTCCTGTGAGGCACCTAATCGCAGGCCGATGCCTTGGTTGATGTGCCCAGTGTATGTCGGAGACGCCTCTAGCCCCAGACCCCTCCAGAACACTGGTGAACGTTATCCTATTCGGCATTTCGACCTTGGGCGGAAGGGACCTCTGCTCAGTGCGACTGTTTGCAGAAGTGCGTCCTGTGAGGGTTAGCACCTGCTTGCGACAGGCGACAACAACAACCAAGATCTTCTCCATAGGGGGTTGGGACGGGATGCGAGGGACCGCACCGATAGGCAAAACAGTGACAACGAAAACGATCCCTCCTCCTCCTCCTCCTCCTCCTCCTCCTCCCCCTCCTCCCTCCCTCCCTCCCTCCCCCCTCCCTCTCCTCCCCCTCCTCCTCCTCCCTCCCCTCCTCCTTCCTCCTCCTCCTCCTCCCCTCCACCTCCTCCTCCTCCTCCTCCTCCTCCTCCTCCTCCTCCTCCATTCCGTTTCCTTGTAAAAAACTTCTCCCTGTCGCATCCCGAAGCCAGCTTTTAGGGCGGGCCGGGCGTTCCGCCTGAGACTTCCTCACCATTTATGACCCTGAAGCTTCAAAATTGACAACAATTTCACAAAAGCAGGGCGGGTCGTTTTCGAGATGTGGCTCTCGCCGTAGCGCCGCGCACAGTCTTTAAAAATTGCAAGAGCTTCACGGATTGAAGGCGGGTGGTTTTCAAAATGTGGCTCTCGCTTTAGCGCCGCGCACACTCGTTTGGAAAATTCGCGAAATCTTCACGAATTGAGGGAGGGTGTTCTCGCTTGAGCGCCGCGCACATTCAGTCTCCAAAGTTGCTAGAGTTTCACGGAATCCCATGGTCAAAGTACCAGAACTGGTGTGTTGGAGGGATTCAGGGGCATGAGGGTGCAACAGTTACGTTGATTCGCGGTGTTGAAATACCAGGAATGGCATTCTGGCACGACTCAGGATCGTCAAGACGCAACAGTCAGGTTGATCAGTGGCGTTGGAATCCCGATACAAATGTTTTGGCATGCGTCAAGGTCTTCAAACGGTCTTCTTCCAACGAGGCAGTTACCTCAGTGGAGATGAACCGCTGTAGGGGCCTAATTATGAAGAGGGAGCTTGGAGGGAGGGTTGATTCCAACATCGTTGATGACTCTCGCGTTGCACTGGTCCTCCTCCTCCTCCTCCTCCTTCCCATGTCGTGACCCAATGTTTTGCGAGCAGGGCCCACACACCCCAGATGTGTCAGAGGTGGTCCAGACGCTCTGGGGGGCAAACCTGTGGGATGAACGCTTGCTGGGAGCCACGTGAAAGCAGTCACCTTCCAGATGCTCTGCGTGACTGCGCACTGCGAGGACGGCTAAACATCGCACTCGGGGCACTCTGACTGCAGAGGGCTGCTCTCCACCTGCTTTTTGTTACTTTGCTTACTCGCGTGCGCCGAAATTACATTCTGCCGCTGAGCCGATGCATTGCGCGACATGCCTTGCGAGTGAACGAAGGTGCGCAGGAGAGACCTCCGAACCGCCTGCACCTTTGGAGCCCCTAGGACAAATGCCTCAACCTTAAACAGCATCAAAAAAATCTGAGGTACGCACGGAGATCTAGGATCGGCGCTGGAACCCCCTCCCTGGCGCGCGAAGCGCGCTAGGGACGGCGCCGGCAGGGGGGACCAGCGCCGATCCAAAAGGTCAGCGCGGACCTCTCAGGAGAGGCTCAGTGCAGACTGGGCAAGCCCAGACGGAGACCGAGCTCTGCGAATGGGCTTACTCCATATGGACTCAGCCTCTCCTGAACCTCCGTAGATCTGCGCACGCTGCCCGGAACTTCCCACGATACGACGAAGCCAGGACGAGGGTATACTCGTGCGAAGCTCAATCGAGAATCTCTGAGATCCAGCGGCTCTGGGAAATGTATCGGGCGTCGCGGCCTTCTCTGAGCGTTCCGGAACGCTCTGAGAGCGTTCCAGAACGCTCTGAGAGCGTTCCGGGACGTCGTGGAACGGACCCAGACATGCGACGTCCTGATTTGTTCGACGCCAGGCGGGAGGCGGGTGGCTCGCCACGGCGGGCCGTCTGGCTCGGGGGGATACTTCGAGGGCGGCGAGAGCGAGATCGGGGAGGACCTCGTTGTCCTCCTCCTCCTCCTCCTCCTCCTCCTCCTCCTCCTCCTCCTCCTCCTCCTCCTCCTCCTCCTACTAGATCCCGTCAGATAACGTATTCGAGGTTCAGCAAAAGTAGGCATCCCTTCTCCTTTGCCTTTTCGCCTCGTCCTCGTCGTCGCCCTCATTGTATTCCTCTTCCTTTTCCTCCTTTTCCTCGTCGTCGTGGTCGCCGCCGTCTCGCTCCTCCTCCTCCTCATCATCATCATCAACCATTCCTTTTCCTCATCAAATAACTCCTCCCTGTCGCACCCCGAGGCCGGTCGAAAAGGAGGGCTGGGCGTTTCGCCAGAGATGTCCTCCCCATTTGTGACCT